GACAGCCAGACAGCCAGACAGCCAGACAGGCAGACAGCCAGACAGACAGACAGCCAGCCAGACAGACAGACAGATATTTTTGTGAGTACAAGGAGGCGAGCCATCGAATTGACATATTGATCTCGTTTGTAATTAATTATTGAAGGTTCTGGTCCCAGCATTCAATGCCGACTCTCTTCCAGCTGGCTCGTTACTGGTTTGTTTGTTGAATGTGTTGTCTTGGGAGCAGCTTGCTCTTATGTCTTTGGTCATGGTTTGCTTGCTTTTGCTTTTGTGTTTAACCATCGTCGGTGGCGCGAACGACGATGATCAGCCCGAGCCACCCAACCATCCGGTGGTTTTGCGCAACACCGTGCGTTCTTAGTTGATGTCAGTTTTTGGATGCTTCCTGCGCGCTCTTGCTGGCCAGGCATTACAGCGCATGGTTGTGGCCATGGTCTTCAATACTTGGGTTCGTCTTTGGCAAGAACAACACCAGGTAAGCTGTGGTTTTGCTGCGGTTATATTATGGACTGTGTTCTGTTTGCGGCGCTTTTCAGGAATTGCGGGAGTTGGCGAAGATGTTGAAAGACTACAACAGAAAGGGCGGGGGAGGCCCCAAAAACAACAAAAAGGGCGGAGGAGGCCCCCAAAAAAACGGCAAAGGGCGCAAGGCCTAGAGCCGAAGTAAAGCATGATGAAGAGGCCAAAGCCTCTGATGCCTCGCGGCCCTGGTTGAGATAAAGATGGTGTCTCTACAAAACATCCATGGTTTCGACATTCTGAAGTCAAGTTTGAGTAGTAAGGACCATTGCAGGCGTTCTAGACCTCAAAGTGATATGAAACGCCCTGCCGCCGCGGAGGCGGCCCGGGGAAGAAAGGTGTTGAAGCGACAAGCTAGAGGTGCTTCAGGAGATGCTGCGTTGCTAGTTCTACATGATAGTACCTCGCCTCGTGAGAAGATTCCCTCTCTTGCCGATCTCCAGCGTCGCACGAAGAAGCTGATCGCGGAGCTCCACCCATCTGGTCCCCTAAACCCACCCCATGTCCCAGCCCCGTGTCCCCAAGTCAAACCCTAAAGGTCGGTGCTCTAATGCGATCCACCATGCTGGTCCCCCGTAAACCCACCCCATGTCCCCAGCCCCGTGTCCCGAAGTCAAACCCTAAAGGTCTCATTCTCTGGCGCTCTAAGTGATCCACTTTTTTGGTGCTCCAAGTGATCCGGTGCTCTAAGTGATCCACTTTTGGGCGCTCTAAGTGATCCCTTAACCGAAAATTACTACTCCCAGGTTTCAGCACATGGCGTGTTCGCTTTCTTATGGATTAATTGTTTTCCTTTCTGTCCAACTTTCTTGCCCCCCTTCGCGCCCATCCTTTTGTGGATTGGCGTGTTCGCATTTTTGCTTTTCATTGATTGTGTTTGCCTTTTGACTGCTTGTTTGCCAGGCGGTTTTTGTCCATACCCAGGGGTGCAAAGATCTGTGGAGCGCGAAACAGATTTCCCCAGTGAGTACCAGGACGTGTTTTTTTTCCTGAGGCCTTCGTTCACTTAGAGCTTGTAGAGTTAGATCATTGCGAAGACAAAATGTGTTGCCTTCAATCTGTTCAAGCCAGTAGTTGGTCATCTATCTTGGCAAAATTAGCCTTCTTGACAAGGAGCCGTTAGGCTACGTTTTCTGTATCTACAATGTAGCCCTTTATGTTTCTTTATGTGCATTTGGGCCCAAAAGATGCACGTACCTTCTTGTATTTTTTGAAGCAGGTAAAAAAGATACAAAAAGAAACTTCTAGGTACATTTTAGAAACTTCAAGGTATACGTAGGTACACTTGCACAACCAACCCCGAGGTCCCCAAGTCTCCGTCTATTTATTTCTTTGTTTATAAACAAATGCTGGGGCAGCGCAACTTTCTCCATTCACATGCAGACTTCAAGAGAAAGGCTCTCTGGATTCAAAAAATCGTATATAGACAGAAAAATAGGACCCAAACAAGCTGCAGTGAAAAATGTTTGTTGCTATATGTCGCTATTTTCAGCTCGAATAGTTGCAGTGACAGTGGTGAGATGCAGAGCTTTAGGTGCCGTTGCCCAGAGAAGGGGAAAAAGAAAAGAATGGGGAGAATCGGAGAATTCTCAGGGAGGTACAGCTTGGAGGTGGGCCCTTCAGAGTGCGGGATTTCTGGGTCCCAAGCCCCACTTTCTACACATCTTGTTTTACGTTACTTTTTCATGTTTTTTCATTTTTTTAAAATGTAACTACTCCTACGTGTTTCTATTCCTTTTGAGCTTAGGAAAATCTTTCCAAGCCTCCAAAAACCAAGAATTCCTAAGTAGGACAATTTCCTGCTGTAAGTACTTTCAAGTAGGATATCTATAAGAACTTGCAAGTTGGCTAAGCACAAATGGCTTTAATAGAACTTCCCGTAGAAAGTTACTAGCGTAGCAAAGAATGTGTAAGAATTTCCTGCTGTAAGTTGCGAGCGTGGCATCGCGACATCTACATTGAAACGCAAAGAATCAGAACGTTTTTTTAGCCATCCCCTTCCCACCCAACCCCCCAAAACCCACCCCCAATCTATCCTAGCGAAAAACATGGTAAAACAAGCAGCAAGGGGAGTGAAAAACGGGCTATTGGCACAGCAAATTTCAAAGAACATCTTCTAAAAAAATGTAAATGCCAGGGCAGAATGGCACTAAAATGCAAGAAAATACGCGGCCGTCTACCAAGCGTGTGCCAACTACTGTGCATGGTGGTGACCCCCAGTCGTTATGTTTGATGGCTTACCACCATTAGTTATAGAGTATCATAGAATACTATAGTTGCATCTACTGGGGTGCTACCGTAAAAACCCTAGCTATTGGTCGAAGGAAGTTTAGAAGTCAAACTTCCGACAGTATGGACAGATGGAAAAGCAGAGGTGGGAAGAGTCAGAGAAGAAGAGAGAAGATCAGAGAAGAGAAAGAGTCAGAAGAAAGAAGATGCAGGTGCGCGAAAGGGTAGAAAAGTCGCCAAACACTGTGTTTTTCCAATGGTTGGTGGCTCCGAAGGGTCGAAAAGTAGGCTCGCTAAAGCGGCGGGTGCGGAGCCATCTGGCCAGATGAGAGATGAAAAATTGCACACCGTTGTGGCGCGAAGCACATGTGGAAGTGAAAAAGCTAAAAACACCACAGCGTCAGCACTTTTAGAAGTTGAGCTGTCGAACAAGTGCACGCCGCTGTGGGGCAAGCACATTTCGAAGTCAAAATGTACAAAGCACGGACCACTTTTCGAAGTTGCGATGTTCAAAAAGTGCACGTCGTTGTGGCGCGAAGCACATTTCGAAGTCAAAATGTACAAAGCACACCACGTTCAAACCACTTTTGGAAGTTGAGATGTCGAAAAAGTGTGTGCCGTTGCATATTTCTAAGACAAAATGTACAAAACACGCCACGTTCAGAGCACTTTTCGAAGTTGCGATGTTCAAAAAGTGCACGCCGTTGTGGCGCGAAGCACATTTCGAAGTCAAAATGTACAAAGCACGCCAGCCTCGGAGCACTTTTGGAAGTTGAGATCTTCAAAAAGTGTAAGCTGTTGTGGCGTGAAGGCAACACATGTTCGCGCCGCTTTTGGACGTTGAAGCGTAGTTTTGTGGCAGGCGCAAGGGATTCTCCACCCTGCCAAAAGTGAGCAAAATGTGAGGGTTTTGTAGCATTTCCAAAAACGATGGCAGGACTGCGACATTTGAAGAGGATCTGCAAAGGTGGATTTCGCGCGGCAGGCGCGGTACAAAAACTCCACTCCACTCCACTCCACTCCACTACGCTACAACTACAACTGTAACTACAACTACACTAAATTCCATTACACTACACTAATACATTACACTACGCTCCGCTACACTACACTACACTCAATTACGCTACACTACGCTACGCTACGCTACACTACACTACACTAACTACAACGACAACTACTACTACAACTACACCACATTACACTACACTACATTACACTACACTACACTCCACTTCACTTCACTACACTACAGTACACTCAATTACAGCACGCTACACTTAAACCACAACTACAACTACAACTACAGTACATTACTTTACACTACACTAATTACACTACACTACACTACACTACACTAGGCTAGACTAGACTAGACTAGACTAGACTAGACTAGACACTACACTACACTACACTACGCTACACTACACTACACTACACTACACTACACTACACTACATTGCAGCACACGACGCTACACTACACTACAACTACAACAACAACTACTATTACTACTACGACGACGACTACGACTACGACTACGACTACTACGACTACGACTACGACTACGACTACGACTACGACGACCACGACCACGACCACGACCACGACGACGACGACGAAGACGACGACGACGACTACTACTACTACAACAACTACTACTACAACTAGCACTACCGCTACAACTACAACTACATTGCATAACACTACACGACACTACACTACATTGCACTGCACTACACCACACCACACCACACCACACTACACTACAATAACCACAACTACAGCTACAACTACAATTACGCTACTTTACACTACACTACACTAGACTACACTACATTACCCTACATTACATTACACTACACTCATGAAACCACCACAAATGCAAACTGCAACTGCAACTGCACTACACTAATTACACTACACCACAACTACAACTCCACTACACTACAACTACAACTACAGCTGCTACACCACACTACATCCAGCAGTTGTGGGTGAGGTGACCGACAAAGGTGACCACTGCAACCATTGTAACCACTCCAAAAACACAACTCCAGCCACCTTTCAGTCCATCAGTGGATTCGTTCTGCCATCCGTGATTCACCACAACCAAGCTCTCCTATAGGTTTCCTAAGTTGAAACTTCCGCCACCGCCTTGTGCGGTACTACAGGTACTACCACAAAACGAGTTCTGAACGGAGGGAGCGGTTCGAGCACCACCTGGTAGGGGGCATCACGTCACCGAGGAACATTGCGTCAGCCTCTTCGCGACCTGTCTGAAATGGTGATTTCTGATATAAATATGGTTTAACCAAGTTCTTAAAACCCAGAGAAACCTAAAAACACCAAGCAATGATGGGAATTCACGTGGGTTCCCGGGAAAGGGTTGTAGTTGCCCTCCAGTCATCAAACATCATCCCATGTTGCTGGGAAAATCATCTGTAAATGGTGGATTTGTCATTGCCCTGGTTGATGACCAGAAATGGTTGATTACCAGAAGGTAAATATGCGCACATGCAGGTTTTTCATCTGGTAAACCCAATGATATATTTCATCCCCATATACCTGGGATGATGGTGGAATGACCCTCAAAAAAATCGTGGGTTACCAGGGTTACCGGGATGGTTTGTGGCATTGGGTTGGCTCCCAGGAAAATCAGTGAATTATCACCAGGAAAATCATGGAGAATCCCAATTTTTGCCCGCCATTTCTGGGGAAGCGTTGAAACAAATTTGACCCACAGGAGAATCCTTTGGTAATCAAACATGGTGTGCTGGAAACTTCTCATTTAGATGAATTGCCCATATGTTTCCCTTGAAATGCCTATATAGAGGATTTCCCAGCCATGTTTGATGACACCAAAGGTTTTTTCATATCGCATTATTCAACCTGCTATCAACCATGGGCCAGTATTGACCAGCTGTTTGGTGGTTTGGAACATTTTTTATTTTTCCATATATTGGGAATAATAACCCCAACTGACTAATATTTTTCAAGATGGTTAAAACCACCAACCAGCCATGGTTTTCCCATTCAAACCCATCAAATTTTTGCATCCGAGGACATCTACCGGACGAAGCGGTGGATTGTGCTGGTCATGGAAAGATTGAAGGGTGGAGAGCTTTTCGAGCAGATCGCGTCTCGTTTCGAGGTTTCGGAAAATGCTGCGATACCCCAAAAATTCATGTGTTTTACCTTTCGGTCATGGATAGTCATGGGATACTAATGCAACATTAATGGGATTGACTGGGATAGAATGAAATTTTAATCGATTTTACCATTTCCCAAACTAACATAGACCCTCAACATCTAGAAATATTTGGTGGACAGCAATCTTCCAGCCCTTGTGGCAGGGTCGATAGATGTCCTCTTTTCCACCCGTTGGTTGGTTATGCAAGAAAGGAATTACCCGATTGAACAACCAATAGGTAGATGATGGTAAATGGCATACCGGCCCCCTCTATTTTCATTCAAGACCCCAAGTACTGTAGGCACTGGGCAAAAGTTTTTTTTTGTGTGTTCCCCAGATTTGGGATTTGATCCAGAGATGTTTCACCATACTCCTCAATTTGCTGGTAGTTTTGACCTGGAACCTGTGGTGTTTGGGGCTTGGGGAGTCCCTTGAAATCGGTGAAGCCGTAACTTCCGCCGTGCCGTACCCAAGGCCAAGAAACGATTTCTGAAGGAGCTGGAAGCGAAACATGCGACTCGGATAAAATAGGTACTGTTCGACGATTCTATATCTGATTACCTGTCAGAGTTGTCAGAATTGTCAATCTGCTGTGAACTCGTTCCAATTTCCATGACTTGCCAGAACTTTGAGGCTTCCCAGTATAGTCGATCCTGTCGGTCTCCCCAGGTCCTGTTTAGTGATTGTTTCATTAATTCTGCTTTGGTTCGATTAGCCGATGTTGCCCTTCGGGCACCTTTTTTGTTAGAAAACGTTTCCACACTTTGCCATCGTCAATCATGGCTGATTTACCAATATGGTCTGACAATGAAAGGATTGACAGTGAAGCAGTTCTCAACAGTGTATAGGCATGGATACGAGTTTACTCAGTCACTGGCCTCACTCTATTGGGACATTTATTTGCCATTGTTCATCGACGACGTCCTGATGCGCCAGACCTGGACTTACCTTGTGAGGTAAGAGAATGCAATGACAAGAATTGTAGGAAGTGTGCAGAAGAGGCTGGTGGGTATGACTTCCGATGGATGCATTTTGCTTGGATCAAGATGTATTTGGAACTCTGTCGTCCTGGTATGTGGTCCACAGAAGAAGATTATCGGTACGAACCCGTTCGGTTCCCAAGTTTTCAAAGCTCAGAGATGGGCAGTCTGCAACTTCTATGGTTTTGTCAGGAAGCATAAATGGATATTCTGAATCGTGACGGCAAATTTGAGGAAATGATGGCAATTTATAGGAAAAGGAGCGATCCTAGTTGAAAACTCCACTTCAAAGAGTAGACAGATGGAGATCATCATAGGAATTTGTAGGAAAAGGAGAGATCGTAATGGAAAACTCCTCTTTCAAAGAGTAGACAGATGGAGATCGTCAAAAGAATTTTTAGGAAAGGGGAAGATTGGAATTGAAAACTCCTCTTTAAAAGAGTCGACAGATGGAGATCGTCATAGGAATTTGTATTTAAAGGAGAGATTGGAATTGAAAATTCCTCTTTCAAAGAGTAGACAGATGGGGAGCATCATAGGAATTTAAAGCAAAAGGGGACATGGGAACGGAAAACTCCTCTGTCAAAGAGTGATGGATATCGTCATAGGAATTTATAGGAAAAGGAGCGATGGGAATTGAAAACTCCTCTATCAAAGAGTGAACAGATGGAGATCGTCATAGGAATTTATAGGAAAAGGAGCGATGGGAATTGAAAACTCCTCTATCAAAGAGTGAACAGATGGAGATCGTCATAGGAATTAATAGGAAAAGGGGAGATGGGAATTGAAAACTCCTCTCCAAAGAGTTGACAGGTGGAGATCGTCATAGGAATTTGTAGGAAAGGGGGAGATCGTAATTGAAAACTCCTCTTCCAAAGACTGAACAGATCGAGATCGTCATAGGAATCTATAGGAAATGAAGAAATGGGAATTGAAAACTCCTCTTTCAAAGAGTTGACCGATAGAGATCGTCATAGGAATTTGTAGGAAAAGGAGAGATTGGAATTGAAAACTCCTCTTTCAAAGAGTGGACAGATGGCGATCGTCATAGGAATTTGTAGGAAAAGGGGAGATGGGAATTGAAAACTCCTCCCCAAAGAGTGGACAGATGAAGATTGTCATAGGAATTTATGGGAAAAGGAGCGATCCTAATTGAGAACTCCTCTTTCAAAGAGTAGACAGATGGAGATCGTCATAGGAATTTGTAGGAAAAGGAGAGATGGGAATTGAAAACTCCTCTCTCAAAGAGTAGACAGATGGGGAGCGTCATAGGAATTTATAGGAAAAGGCGAGATGGGAATTGAAAACTCCTCTTTCAAAGAGTCGACAGATGGAGATCGTCATAGGAATTTGTATTTAAAGGAGAGATTGGAATTTAAAACTCCTCTTTCAAAGAGTAGACAGATGGAGATCGTCATAGGAATTTATAGGAAAAGGGGAGATGGGAATTGAAAAGTCCTCTTTCAAAGAGTAGACAGATGGAGACCGTCAAAGGATTTTATAGGAAAAGGGGAGATGGGATCTGAAAACTCCTCTATCAAAGAGTAGGCAGATGGAGATCGTCATAGGAATTTGTAGGAAAAGGAGGGATGGGAATTGAAAACTCCTCTCTCAAAGAGTAGACAGATGGAGATCGTCATAGGAATTTGTAGGAAAAGGAGAGATCGTAATGGAAAACTCCTCTTTCAAAGAGTAGACAGATGGAGATCGTCAAAAGAATTTTTAGGAAAAGGGGAGATTGGAATTGAAAACTCCTCTTTAAAAGAGTCGACAGATGGAGATCGTCATAGGAATTTGTATTTAAAGGAGAGATTGGAATTGAAAACTCCTCTTTCAAAGAGTAGACAGATGGAGATTGTCATAGGAATTTATAGGAAAAGGGGAGATGGGAATTGAAACTCCTCTTTTAAAGAGTGGAGAGATGGAGATCTTCAAGGGAATTTAAAGCAAAAGGGGACATGGGAACGGAAAACTCCTCTGTCAAAGAGTGATGGATATCGTCATAGGAATTTATAGGAAAAGGAGCGATGGGAATTGAAAACTCCTCTATCAAAGAGTGAACAGATGGAGATCGTCATAGGAATTTACAGGAAAAGGGGAGATCATAGTTGCAGACTCTTCTATCAAAGAGTGGCCAGGTGGAGATCGTCATAGGAATTTATAGGAAAAGGAGAGGTGGGAATTGAAAACTCCTCTTTGAAAGAGTGGACAGATGGAGATCGTCATAGGAATTTACAGGAAAAGGGGAGATCATAGTTGCAGACTCTTCTATCAAAGAGTGAACAGATGGAGATCGTCATAGGAATTTATAGGTAAAGGGGAGATGGGAATTGGAAACTCCTCTTGCAAAGGAAGGATCGGATTCAAATTCACAAGAAAAGGGATTTGAGATTCACATTCCTCTTTTCACAATTTGAGACGGACTATTCGAGTCATCCGAGTCAGTCCAACACTCACGGAAATGTTTGTGATTAAAAAGATTGGAACAGTTGGACAACTAACAAATTGCACAACTGACATTACTGTTTTGGCTCATTACAGGAAGCAGTGCTGCGTTGCCCATCGGGCACTTTCCAACGCAGTAGAGAGAAACATATATTGGATAACCGAATATAATTTTAACATTCATAATATGCCTCTTAATGATCTAGGACTGATGTGGTTCGTAGATCAGGAATTCACAATCTTTTTGTCTAGTAATTCTCCGCAACTACTGCGTCCGCGACCTTGCCATTGCATCCCCCTGGTGGTGACCCTTCGAGCACTTCCTTCGCACCCTTTATTGGGACACTACACAATGAAATCAGAAAGTGAAGATGAGCAACCACGGATTGATATTTCCCTCGTGCAGCCCTCAATGCCATCGAATGTCGGCATTGCGATGGTTGGTGCCGGCACAGAAGCTTCTCCAAGCAGTCCGGCGCAAGATAAACAATTGGTTGAAATCACATCCTCACCGGAGAGCATGCGTCAAGGTGGTTGTGAGCTGTCCAGCACTTATGCAAGAATAAATTGTGAGCGCTCCTGTTCGCGTGGGCACTTACGGGAACTGTGCCGCACGGGTCTGCGCTTGGGAGATGAGCACAGAGAATCAGATGCCTTAGTTCCCACAGAAGAACTATATGCACATGAAGATGGTGCACTGTTGAGTACTTTCGATTCATTCGCTTCAAGTTTGCGTTCCGTTACGGCTGCCTTAGAAGATCAAAGAAAATTGACAGATCTTCGGGAGTCACAGCTCGCCGAAGCGAGAGATCAAGCAACTACACAGTCAGCACAGCTATTGGAAAGGCAGCCTCTTCTGCCTTTCGGAGTCTCTCCTCCAATTCTCTGTCATTCTCCTCTGCACGCAACAGATCGATTCTTCTGGCAGTCTCTTCTGCCTTTCGGATTCTCTCTTCCAATTCTCTGTTCTCCTCTTCTGCCTGACTGTGCTGCGGATCAAAGGATATCGGCCGAGGATTCAACAGAAACTTCTCAATTGTCGCTGCACGAGGGATGTCAGTTAAATGCTATATGGAAATGTTTGGTTGTTTTGCATCACAGTATGTTCAAAATTAAAGGCGTAAGTTTGCACTTCAGAGAAGAGCTTGCTCCCTGGAGAAGAGCTCACAATGTCGCCGAGAGTGGTATCAAGCTGAGTGTACAAGGTAGTACACAGACAATGGAAAAGTTTGACAAGGAGACACGGCATGTCATTGCCAATCAGAAACACGAGTGTGTTTATTCAGATTCAGAGTGGCAAAATCTTCTGAGGATCTATAAAAAGTTGTGGCCTTTCAAAGGCCCCATGCCGGAAGCACTGGATTGGTGGAGTTTATCCACCCAAGAACTCGTACAAGCAGTGCCTTGGACCAATCTTTTTTTTAAATTTAACCATGTAGTTATCAAAATGCATGAAAAAAGGGATGGGATCAGATCTAAACATTGTGAAGGCGCTAGGCGACGATCATAGTTCAGCACCTGTCATTGTGTATGACGGGTGCTGAAACTATGATCGTCGCCTAGCGCCTTCACATCCGGAGCCACTGGAGCCAAACCTCCGCAAACCACATCTCCTGAGATCCAGCCTATACTATGCCGTCATTCATTCCGAAGATCACTTCAAAATGCCTTGGGCAATGAACGTACTATGGCTCAAAATTGACGAGGAAATGAAAGCATACAACTTTCCACTATCTGATGGTGCTTGTGGTGTCATCCATGTCTTGCGTCTCAAATCCAGGACAGCTACAATGTTAAAGGTCGGGGCCAGCCAGTACCCCTCAATTTTGGCCAGGACCAGCAGATTGAAAAAATACGAAAGTACGTTTAAGCCAATGGTTCTGGAAAAGGTCGAAGCCATTCATCTCTATCAGAACACAAGAAGAGCATACCAGATAGAGGAAGAACTCCATCAGAACCTGCGGGTAAAATATGGAAATGTGAATCCACATAGTGTGAAAAGCAGAGAACTGTATAAGGTCGGACACTTGGAAGCAATCCTGGAACTCTTGCATGAAATTGAGCAGAAACCGTCTTTCAATGAAACAATTCCCCAAAAAAGAACAAAAGGAAATGAACATGTTCTCAGGAGGTCATCAGGCAAGTAATTGTGATATGCAGAGTGGACCGAATAGATCCTCACTGTAGGATCTCAGTAAGCACTCTGCCGTCACGCGCTTTCCGGGAGTGCTTAATATTGAACTTTCAGGAGCTGCCAAGCGACCCAGTAGTCTAGCTTTGCATTAATTCACGAAGCGACGCGGGACACTGAGAAATGGACCAATAAAAACAATGTGAATCTGTGGCAGATAACTGTGGCATTCTGTGGCTATGGCATTATGGCCATGGCAGTGGTGTTTGTCATAACAGGGTCGGGATGGTCATCTTTCACGGAAAGCCAACTGTCCGATGTTGTGCGAGCTTCTTTTACGACCAAAACAAGTCTTAACAGGATCACCACTTTGCTGATGTTTGAACTGTCATTCTGTCATTCACTCAAGGTCATGAAGAGTCACATTGCAATTGAAAACAGTCACATTGCAGGTCATAGGTCACAGTCATAGAATGTTTGCTTCAAGAAGACAGTCTCACAGCATTGCTGAAATCCGCTCAACTGGAGAAACTGGACCTCTTTGACTGTCTGCAGCTCTCAGTGGGTGCAATGAGGTTTGCTGAGACGGTCTTTTTGTTCATTTTACCAATTCGATATCCACCATGAATGGGGAAACAGCTTGGAAGCGCCCCAGGTGATGCGCCAGATCATCTCGGGTCTATCCTTTCTGCACGGAAAACACATCGCCCATCGCGACCTGAAACCGGAGCGACGGATGATTTTCGTTGGGGATTCTTTTGGGAAAATTTTGGTGAATTTTGGGGGACTTTCCGATGATGTTGTTTTCTTTTTCGAGTTTTTTTTTATTTTTGGGGAATATTGAGGGATTTTTGATGATTTTTGTCGTTTTTTGGGCAGGAATTCTGGAGATCTTGGCTGATTTTGGGGCAAATGTTTGAGGATGTTTTGGTGATGTTTGATGATTTTTTGGTGACGTTTGGTGAATTTTGATGATTTTGTGGGATTTCAATCATGCTTTGGAGTATTGTTTTTTTTTTTAAACGATCAAGTTGCAGGTTTTTTCGCAGGCCAAGACTCAGGGAGTTGACCGTCGACCTTGATTTCACCGGAGATGGGATTAGAATTACAAAAGGGATTGGAGCTAGAGTTGATACCCTTTGGTAAACATTTACATAACGATGAAAAATCACCATGTTATAGCTGGGAAAATCCACTATAAATTGCCCTCTGTTTATTATAATAGGTAATTATCTGGTAATTTAACCATTACCCTCTGGTAAATCAACTATTTTCATGGCCATTTTCAATAGCTATTTTGACATAACCAGAGGGTATCACAAATATCATAAATGCTTACATCATAGAACGTGCCACAGGTTCCAGAGCCACCACTCAGGATGTTATTTCCCAACTTTATGACTTGATGCCATTTGATGCCCATCGGCAACAAGCCATGGGTACATCACGGCCTAAAGCCTAAAACCATCATGTTTTCTGGCTAGAGCCATGATGAGCCCATGATTTTCTGTGGATTTTCCCATGGGAAAGCCTAATCAGTCACCATTCTTGGGATTTCCTTCAGGAGAACATCTTGATCTCCACTAGTAGACCAGCTGAGCCTCCCAACCAGGAGATGGGGGGACGCATCCAAAATGGGGATTTCAATGATGACATATTCAGAAAATTAGGATTTACCCTCCAGTAAATTAACATAGACCCTGGCAGTCATCGGGGTTGGAAGACTAGTGAAACCACTATAAATTGGTCATTTTCAGGGTCTATCTTAATTTACCAGGGGGTAACTATATAACATGATTTAATCATCAGACGGGGATTTGACTGTGAACAATAGGGATTTCACCATTAATTTAATCATCAAAGGTTTTTGAAGCATCAAACACGGTGGATTTCACCAAATGAATCATGCAAATTTGGGATTGATACCTGAAACTGGGGTATACCCCCACTCTTCTGGCAATGTTTCAATATGTTTCAATGACACATGAGGATTCCTCATGTGGATTTGGGGGCCTGGAAGGAGGCAGTGGCATTCAGTGACTGTAAGAAATCGTCTCAGCGCAGAGCCTAGGTGCCCAAGATCTGATGGGGTGTTGGTCCATAACTAAGGGGATGGGAGTATATACCCTCCAGTAATCGAACATCAATTTGATGGGCTAATTTGATGCTTAAAATATCTCATATTCATTCATTTTCCCCATGATTCAATGGCTCAATGGCCACAACTGTGGCTACATACCCCACTTGTTGTGGACTGGGTTAATCATCATTCTCTCCAATAACATTCTGGGGGTATACCATGGGTATACCATGGTATACTGCAACTGAACCGGCCATGTCAGGTCACATCTCAGCGGTGAATGCTGCTGCAACTGGCTCGGTAGGGGCCCCTTTTTAGTTCCTTGGTTGAAGCCAATTCATGGCGACAGGTCGCTGAGACCTTTGGCGGTGAAACAGCGCTCTGTGCGCTTGCTGCTGCGCGTTGGTTGGAAGTGGTGAACTTGACCTACAGCATCTAGGCTGTGGACCTGTTGGTTTGGGATAGGGGTCGAGCCCAATAACCCCACTGCCTGCTCCAGCTACATTGGTAGCGGAGCAGAAGCTCCAGGCCTTACGTTTTGGCTCTGTTGAGATCGTCATTGAAGGTGACTTGAATCTCCAGCGCTACAGCGTGGACTTGAACCTTTTGGCTGGTCGAAGCGGGATACTACGTCCTGAACTTCCACGACCTTTTGGCCGAGCTCTTTTACCAGTTTGAATTTGTGCTCCCCAGTGACGCGGCTGGGATCCTTTGCAGGCCATTTTGGCCATCAACCACTTCTCAGGAGATGTCATCTGAGAAGGAACAAAACGTTCCAGTTTGGGACGGAAGCGCAAGATCATGGCGAAGGTATACACGTGAGGTTTGTTGGTATGTGAGGGCCACACCAGTTGAGAAAAGAAGGTACTGCGCTACAAAACTGGTGGGGAAACTACGTGGTCCTGCTCGACTATTGGCTATGAGCTGGACTACAATGGAATTTGACCATGTGAATGGAGTCCGAGATCTTTTACAAAGATTGGCAGCTTCTCCACTGGTGAGGCGAACATTGCCGAACGCTGCTGCAACATGTCAGCAGTACTTCAGCTTTAGACGTGAAGCTGGAGAAGCCATGAACAACTTCCTTGTCAGGGAAGCCTTGGGCTACTCAGAGTTCGTGGAGGCGCTCCTGCTGTTGTATGAGGACAAGAAAGGGATTCAGCAGCATGACAAAACATTTGATCTACCTGAAGAAGCTCCCCGTGATGGATGGGCTGATTGGTGGTATGATGCAAATGATGATCCAGAACAAGAAGAACCTCCTGGTGCTGCTGCTTCACCTACTTCACCGGCGAGACCTACGGCGTCACCTACGGCTACAGCGGCTGCAGAAGGCTCTGTGGGTATGTCTCCAATTCGACGTGCTCAACCTGATGCCAGTTTTCGCTCTGTTGGAGTTCCTGGAACCTCAGCTGCAGGCGAAGTTCAAGGTGAGATCAACGAGTTCTCCTTGGCCGACAGCTTCGTTTTGGGTATCTTGAGAGGCTTCCGGTTGTTGCAATCAGCTGGACTCAGTCCTGATGAGAAGAGGGACATCTTGGCCACGACGAAGGGAAGTCTTGAGTTCGAGGTGGTGACACAAGCACTTCAGACTCTATGGGATGAGCAGTTTCTTGGACGCAGCACTATTTCCTTGAAGAGTTCTATGGCGGGCTACTACAATGAGTCCTTCCAGGTGTCTGACGAGACCTATGACCCGAATTGGCATGATGATTGGGGTGAGAACTACTGGAGCGAAGCCGACTACTGGGCTGAGCCTGACTGGGATCAATGGGGTGATCTACAACACTCTCAACCTGAACCTCCTCTACAAGATGATGGTGCTGATGATCCTCAACTACAAGATGCAATGAAGGCTGAGGGTGATGCAGAGAACATCCTCGCTCAAGCTCAGAGGACTTGGGCCGAAGCTCAACGAGCAACTGCCCTGCTTCGCAAAGACCGTGGATTTGGACATCAGCGTCCTCCCAACGATGGCAAGTGCTTCATTTGTGGTGGAAATCATTTTGCACGAGATTGTCCTGACAAATACCATCCTTCTTACATGAAGGGGAAAGGTAAGGGGAAATCTCCTCATGCCTACATGGTGGATTGGGAGACTGCTGAGCTCTACTACATGAAGGGTAAAGGCAAGTCCAAAAACAAGGGCAAGGGCAAACATGCCAGCCTGGCTGACTTGAATGCGATGTGGAAAGGAAAAGGAAAAGCCAAGCAGTCACCAAGCCGTCCAGTTGTGAATGCTTACGTTGCTGAGAACCAGGTGATGTACGGCTTGGAACTGCAGGAAACCTATGAGGCTCAATCCAATGCGGCAACCAACATGCCACCCAATCTTGGTCTTCTCGATTGCGGCGCTACTGCAAGTGCTGGGCCTGAAACAAGTGTGCAGAAGTTAATCAACTCTGTACTGGCTCAGGATCGAGGAGCTGCTGTGACCATTGCGAAATACATGCGGCCTTACTTTCGCTTTGGGAATGGTTGTTGGGGGCAAGCCAATTTTAGAGTCACTATTTCCTCCAAAGTTTCTGGCACTGAGCGAAATTTCCACATGTATTGTTTGCCTGACCCCAAGAATGTGGACCCAAAGAACATGGTACCCGTGCTGTTGGGGATGGATCATTTGAGTGGTAGGGACAGCCCAGAAAGCGCTTTGACAATTGACTTCAACACTGGTTTGGCTGTCGAGTCTTTGAATCCTTCACCAACAATACATCAACTACCTAGTAACAATAAGGGGCACTACATTCGGGACATTGTCTACTACCTTACATTGGGGCATTCAAATCAAAAAGGTCATCCAACTATACATATCATGGAGGGTCACATCCAGTCTGCCGAGCTGCAAACTCTTGAATTTCACCCGGTTGAGTTCTATGACATGAGCATGTCTGACCATGTACATGATGAACATGTTTTGGAAAGATCGAGAAGGAACCTGATGGCACTACATGCACAACAACATGGTCATGCTGATGCGAATGCCGAAGCAACTCTGGCTTCAATGTGTCCAAGAGACAGCCCCGCGATTTCCAATTCGACCGCATCCGCTTCCTGTGTGCAGACTGACCATGGCGCAGGAACATCGACAAGAACAAGTACGGGATGCAATCAAGAAGGCCATGCCGAAACCGGCTCCTTCCAGACCTCTGGACCCGGAGCGCACGATGGGTCACGACCCAAGAGACCCTCGTGCCGACTCCCAACAATTGCCATGTCACGGAGCTCACACTCCGTCGAAGCCTCAGGGAAATGCACATGGAGCTTGGGTGCACTGCATGGTGTGCAACCTACGTCTCCAATATGTGCCGAAGAAGGGAAGCACCAGCGGCACCACGAAGGTCGAGAACCCTGTGATGATCCAAAAGATGCTGCAGCGCTTGCAACCCATGATGAACGGCTACCGCCCAAATCAGACGATTTGCGCGGCAATGGTGAAGCTGATCGAAGCCGAAGAGGTGCTGCAGACCCACATCAACCAGGAGATGGATGCTCAGGCGTTCAACAGCGCCTTCCCGTCGACAAAGGCAAAGACAAAAAAGCCGACTCCCTCAACAGCATCGAGCTCACCAGCGGCTCAATGGGATGTGGTGGACAATGCCTACATGCCGGCGGAGGGCTACGTGGATCCGAATGCCAACAACGCCAATCCGGCGGAGATGTCCTAAAGAATGACCTGGCTCACAAGAATGTCAAGGCTCCACAGAACCCCAAGGTGCTTGAGAATGACCTGGACACTGAGTATATCAAGGTGACAAAGAATGCCAAGGTTTCAAAGAATGTCAAGGACGCCAACAAGACCTATGAGCTCACACATCGCCTGGCGGCAAAGGTGATGTTCCTGGCAACTACGATGTTGGCGACGGCAACCACTTGATGACCGTGATGGACTATGGGAGATTGCATGCTCTCCACACTCTTGGCTTTCCGAAGCGGCTCAGATGCAAGGCTTGAATCCGAGGCGCATCAACCTGCAGTCCGGCTACGACCTCTACAAGAAGGAGACCTGGGATCATCTACGTGCACTGCGACGGAAACATCGACCTCGACGTCTATGGTGGTCTCTTCCTTGCACATTTTGGTGCCAATGGTCAAGCCTCAACTATGTTGGACCTGAGCGGCAACAACTTCTTGAAGATCATCGACGACGTGAACGGCGACTCCTTTGGTATGCTCATGAATTTCTCACCGAGGCCTTGGAGGATGACCCTGAACTGTTGGTTTACTACGAGTGGCCTCATCCTTGCTTTGGTTGGAAACAAAAACCGCTTTTGGCAATACAAGCACTTTTTGAAAAACATGGGCATGAGTGGTTGGATTGTCGTATCGATGGATGTCGCTACGGTATGGTTGATGCACAACAAAACTTTCTGCGAAAGAAATGGTTGGTGAAAACAAATGATGAACTTTTTCACAGTCAGTTTCGTTGCAAAGTATGTCAAGGTGGACATTGCCACGGACGCATTGAGGGTCGTGAAACTCAGAAATCAAGCTACTATCCCTGGAAGATGGTCCAGTCTATTGCTCGTTTTTGGGCAAAGCAGACTGTGAGTAATCAACAACTACGGCGCATGAACTTCCAGGAGCTTGTTGACGATGAGGACATTGACCTCTATGCGGCCCCTGCTGATGAAGATCCTGGCGAGATTGCGGCTGGTGCTGAACCTCCTGCATCAAATCCTGCGGATGAACCGCCCAATGCTGCAGAACGTGAACGGTGGAAGGCCAAACTCATGCACTTCCACAAGGCAGCTGGTCACTGCTCAAGTCGCAACCTTAGCCGAATTGTCCGTGATGCCAATCTGGACAAATGGAAGATCAAGATGGCAGAGGACTTCACTTGTCCAATTTGCGAAGGTTTGAAACCTGGTGGTGCTTCAAGCGGCAACGTGCCTCCTGCTGCAACACATGCTCAATTTGGTCCCTGGCAGGCGCTTGGACTTGATGCGTCAGAATGGGTTGTGCCGGGCCTCAACCAAAAGATCAAGTTCTTGCTCATGATCGATTATGCCACCAAGTTGCGTGTTGCAATACCATTGATGGAACCCTACGGCATCAATCAGATGCGTACAGAAAGCTCTGCTCAAGTGATTGAGGCTGTTTCCAAGAGCTGGCTGGCTCATTATCCAAAACCTGAGGTGATCATTCCCGACAATGGCATGGGCTTTGTGGCAAAAGAGTTTGCTGACTTCTGCCGCGACCAGAACATCGAGCTCTCCATGCCTGCTGAAAAAGAACCTTGGGCTCATGGATTGGTTGAGAATGCAATGCGGGAGTTCAAACATACCGCAACAGCTATCCAGATGGACAACTTTGCCCAGGATCCATCTGTGACCTTGACCTTGGCTGCCTCTGCACTTAACTCTACAGAGTTTGTCAGCGGCTTCAGTTCACATCAGTGGGCGTTTGGCCGTGCCTACACCATCAGCGAGGAAGACCGTCGACTTTTTGCCCAACTTGGTGATCGTGCGTCTTTTGCTTCAATGGTTGCTGCTCGTCAAAGAGCTGAAGATGTAGCAACGAAGACGAGGGCGCAGAGAATCATGACAAGGCTCAACAATAGCAAGGCCAGACAGCCCTTGCGCACTTTTGAGATTGCGGACCTTGTCAAAGTTTGGCGCAAAGTTCTTCCAAGTGATGCTTACAAAGGTCCTCGTGGTGGAATGAAACGCACCAGCAGACCTGGCTGGGTTGGACCTGGAAGAGTTGTCTTCACAGAACTACTTCCTCATCAAGACCGTGATGATCATCGACGTCACATCATTTGGGTGCTCATGCATGGCAAGCTCTTCAAATGCTCAGTTCACAGTGTCAGGCCTGTGACTGCTGTGGAAAGATTTCATCATGATGTGCACTCCAAGGAGGACGTCACCAAGATGAAGACGCTTTCAGATCTTGTTCCAGAACGAGAGTTTGTGGATATCACCGATGAAGTTCCAGATCCTGATGAACCTGAACTACAAATCCTGCCTCCAAAACCTGATGACACCTCTGTCATTCCAGCGATGCGGATTTGGGGGAAGAAACAGCTCCAATCAGATGACTGGAAAACTGTGCACAGGTCAACGCCTCTTGGACTTGGCGTCAGAGATCCTGCACCTCTCCCTGGACTTGGACGTGCAGAACGATCTCGGTCACCTGGACTTGACCGCAAGGCTTCCTCTTCACAACCTGCTGGTCTGGACTTACCAGCTGAGGATGCTCCTGTGCAACCAGTCAATGCCTATGATGATGAGTATGAACCTGGAACTCCCATCAATGACCTTCCTGAGGAACACTCACCTGGTGATCCACACCCTGAAGCTCCTGAAAGCAAACGACCCAGAAACCTTGAATACGACATGAAGTGGGTCGAACAACTTCAACAAGATGCGGCCTTAGAAGCTCAAACTATGGATGTCCACACTGCTCTTCAAGACCCCTGCGTTGAAGAGGCCTTCATGATTTCCTTTGACCTCTCCATGGACTCCCAACGTCAAAGGAAGCAGCTCGTGAGAAATCCTTCACTTTTCATGGCCAAGAAGGTTGGCAATGCTGAAGTTCAATTGGTGAAGTTGACACCTGAACATCGAGCTCTTTTTGAAAAGGCCAAGTCACGCGAAGTGGACAGCTTCTTGAAGAACCAGGCCGTGCGACGTTGTTTGGATGATCAAGAAGTTCGTAGAGCTGTTGAATCACAAAGAATCATCAAGGCGCGATGGATTTTGACATGGAAATCAACGCCTCCTGATGAGATAGATGATGCTCGAAAAGAAGCAAGTGAGGATCCCAACACTGTCCTCACGAAAGATGGCTCCAAAAAGGCCAAAGCCAGAATTGTTTTGCTGGGCTTCCAGCATCCTTCACTCCTTGATCGCACTTTCAAGACCGCGGCTCCTGTTCAAAGCATGGTGGGGCGCAACATGCTGTACCTCCTTGCAACCCATCATCAGTGGCAAATACATGGACTTGATTTGGCCACCGCTTTTCTTCAAACACAGCCGACAGAAGCCGATCAGGAACTTTGGACAACTGGCGTTTCTGAGCTACGTGCAGCTCTTGGCCTACAAGATGAGGGCATCATGCGTGTTTTGAGAAACATCTATGGTTCAACAACAGCTCCACGTGGTCTTTGGCTTGATCTTCACAAAAAGCTTGTTGGACTTGGTGCTGTACCAATTCTTGGCGAACGATGTCTTTGGGGTTGGTTTTCAAAAGAGCTGAAGGATGAGACCAACAAGTACCCTCGGTTGATTGGCGCCATTGGTGGTCATGTTGATGATTTTCACGTTGTAGGCGACCCACATAGTCAAGAATGGCAAGCCATTTTTCAGAAAGTCCTGGCGGCATACAAGTGGGGAACTTCAAAACAAGGAAGTTACCGACATGCTGGGACGGACATACAGACCGTCAAAAAGGAGAATGGCCAGTTTGCCATCCACATCAACCAGGATGCCTACATCGAGACTGTCATGGATGTCAACCTGGATCCTGAACGATGGCGACAATCTGGACCTCTTTCAAAAACTGAGGTAGCTGCTTGCCGAACTACCTTGGGCGCTTTGCAATGGTTGGCCATCCAGACTCAACCTCAACTATGTGCTCGTTGCAATCTGCTTTTGACTGAAGTTGTAACAAATGGAACAATAGAGACAGCACGTGAAATACAACAAATGGTTTCCGAAGTTCGTGCTGCTCCTCAACATCTTCAGTTCTTCAAACTTCCAGGCACCAAGAAGTGGACCGATGTGGTTTTTATTTCAATGGGCGACCAGTCTCATGCAAACCGTCCTCAAGGTGATTCTACTGGTGGACTTTTGACATTGGCTGCTGGGCCAGATGTCTTGACTGGAAAGGTTGTCCCTATGAACCTTCTTGCATGGCGAAGCTGGAAATTGAAGAGGAAGGCGATTGGAAGCAACGATGCAGAAGTTCAGAGTATACTTGAAGCCGAAGATCAGAACTTCAGAGTTCGCATGCTATGGAGCGAACTTCATGGCGTTGGTCTATGCCGACCTGAACGTCGAGCCGATCTGGTAACTGCTGCAGAAGAGCAAGCTTGTGCTGTAGCAGGAGTTCTTTGCACTGATTCCCGAGGTGGCTATGACGCTGTGGAGGTGAACGAATCCCCTCTCCTTGGGCTTTCAAACATGAGAGCGGCTCTCCAAGCATTTCAGCTTCGAGACAACTTGAAGCGGGTCAATTGCGATTTACGTTGGGTGGCATCCGACTACGACCTTGCCGATGCCTTCACAAAGAAAAGGGCTGACAGCAGAGTTGGTTTGATGAAGTTTTTGTTGAACCGACTGTGGTCGATCGCATATGATCCACACTTCGTTGCAGCAAAGAAGAACAAGCGCACCGGCAACACCGCGATTCAGAAAATCGACGATGCTCTGGGTGACATGCAAGTTCCTTTAACTGCAAGTGGTGCTTTTGATAACTATGCTGAGCATGCTCTCGCAATCAGTGCTGGCGAACTATACCGTCAAGATCAGCTGGATGCGTTTGCAATCAATGCTGCTGAACTTCACCGAGAAGACTTAGCAGTTCTCGCAATCCATGCTGGCTCTCGAGATGTTCCGATCGGTTCGATCTTTTCCCTACCTAGCCATAGTACAGTGAGCTGTGACCTGAAGTCCTTTTATGCTGGTGCAACTGAACCGGCCATGTCAGGTCACATCTCAGCGGTGAATGCTGCTGCAACTGGCTCGGTAGGGGCCCCTTTTTAGTTCCTTGGTTGAAGCCAATTCATGGCGACAGGTCGCTGAGACCTTTGGCGGTGAAACAGCGCTCTGTGCGCTTGCTGCTGCGCGTTGGTTGGAAGTGGTGAACTTGACCTACAGCATCTAGGCTGTGGACCTGTTGGTTTGGGATAGGGGTCGAGCCCAATAACCCCACTGCCTGCTCCAGCTACATATACTCCATTTTCAGACGCAAGTGTTTTTCATTTTTTCAGACCCAACATCCCATGATTCCAGGTTTCTACAAGAAAGATCCTTCGACCAATCCATTTCAGCCCTGGAATCCATGACTTGGGCGACTTGGGTTTGACAGTTCGGTACTCCCAAATTCGATGGGTTTCATATGGCTTAATCATCGTTTTCCCGATTCACATTGCACATTTCTGGGGTTCATCCCCTATTCCTTTCGGTGGTTGGAGCCTGGTGTTCCAGGACTGCGTTTTGCTCGACATCAAAATTGCGGACTATGGTCTGTCCAAATACCGAGAGGAGGAGCGATGGGTCCAGGAATATGGGATATATTATGATATAGTACCCTCTGGTAAACATTTACATAACTATCAAAAATCACCATTTTCAATGGGTAAATCAACTATAAATCACCATTTTCAATGGGTAAATCCACTATAAATCACCATTTTCAATGGGTAAATCAACTATAAATCACCATTTTCAATGGGTAAATCCACTATAAATCACCATTTTCAATGGGTAAATCCACTATAAATCACCATTTTCAATGGGTAAATCAACTATAAATCACCATTTTCAATGGGTAAATCCACTATAAATCACCATTTTCAATGGGTAAATCAACTATAAATCACCATTTTCAATGGGTAAATCCACTATAAATCACCATTTTCAATGGGTAAATCAACTATTTCGACTGGGCCATTTTCCAGTTCGCAAACTGTTGACAGAACCAGAGGGTAACCCCCCAAAACGGTGCCGAAAAGTTGGACGGAAACATATGGGGAACATCTCATGGAACTAGCATCCTGGTTTCATGGCAACCAAGGGACGCTGGGTGGATGGATGGGTGGGTGGGTGGATTGATTGCTTTAGGTGATTAAGTGTATACATTTGCAGACAAGATAAGATAAGGTTAGATAGGCTATATATAGATAGATAAGACAAGATAAGGTTGGATAAGATTGGTTATAATATATATATATATGTGTATATATATATAATATTTAGATTGAGCTATAGATCTAGATCCAGATGTATTGTGTTTATTATATTCCTATTATTTTACATATGTTCAAAACTATCCTACAATCCCAACAAAAACACAATAGCTATCAATAGCTCCATCTCTCGATCTTCAAAAAAAACCTGCATGTCCTCAAGACGTTAGGAGTTGAAGAGTTTAGTGGGAACTCCGCAGTATTGGGCGCCCGAAATGCTCATGGGCCGTGGCAAGCCACTCAGATGCACTGCTGACAGTGGATTTTCATAGGCATGGGGGTACCCAATGGATATACTGTAACTGGATGGTTTACAATGGAGAATCCCATTCAAATTTCTTGACATATAGGGATATCCCCCCCTTTTTTAGTAAAGCGGCAACTTGCAGTGGAAATGGAGATGAAGCCCCTACAAATGATGGTCACATGGCACTTTAATAGGTAAATGACGGTTTAAACTTTTCTGAAAACGGGATACTTCAATGGGTTGTTTGAACATTTGGTGGAACAACAACAGACATTGATGGTCTATCTATGTTTATCATGCTTTGTCCCGATTACTTGATGATTATTTGGGGGCCCATCTCCCATTTTCAGACATACCCTGTATCAAACAGTTGGGAAAGAGTTGGGGTTGAAACCGATAGTTGAACCCCAACATCACCAGATGCAATACTGTATGAGCTTTAGAAAAAACATGATAACCAGTTTTGATGGTTTCAAAAGTCATTTCGGTATCCTGACATTGAAGTAATACTTGGGGTGTCATTTTTGGACACTTCCAGATCAGATTGCAAATGATGGTGAAACCTGATGATTTCCTTGTTCATTTTTGAGGTCCTTGGCATTGATATGAATATATATACACATGCATAAGCAGAAACACACTATAAGGATCTTGGCGAAGGAAAACAAACAAATTTGGTGTGTCGATTGGAGCCCATTTTGGTTGTCCAAAGATGCCAGTTTGAGGTATACTCCATTTTGGGACAGACCTAAATCCATTCTTCGGTGATCAAAACTCCTATGTTTGGTAGTAAAATCAACTTTGCGATCATATATATATATATATGTATATACACGCATATAATTATATATATATGTGGGATGGTAGATTCCTATTGTACCTATCCCCAACAAATCACTAATCTCAAGGAATTCATGGTGAAATCCCGCAAATTTTCTCAGGGACGCGTACGATGAGCGCGTAGACCTATGGAGTCTGGGCGTGCTGTCGCTAGCTGCAAAGGGCGCAACAAGGGGGTTCGATCCACCACCACAAAACAAGCACAAGAAAACCAATGAGTTCGCAATTTTCTTTATACATGGGTGTGCACTCAAATTGGTATACTTGTTGCAATTGATACTAGGAACCACTTGTATCCACTGCAAAACCATTCTAGATCATTTTTCAATATTTTTTAATTGTTTTATAGGTGCTTTTGAGTTGCTGGCAAGGTCGATCAATGCCATTAACCATCACAGTAATTGGGATAATATATGTTTGTCAATGTTACATCGTCCCTGTTATGATTTTTCGCCCCAATTGAGTATGGGTTTGATGTCAGAGAGCCTGGAAGGGTTGACATAGCTGGTGCCCCCCAGTTATGTTTGCTCTTTTATAACCCCCCATTGAATATAGAATACTAATGAATACTATAGATATATGACATATGATATCATAAACCCTACTGTAGTTATTGGAGCTATTTCAAGCTATTTCAAGCAACAGCCAGCTATCATTTTGCCTCACCACAGCCAGCTTAGACAGCCATGGTGAAGCCCCGACGTCTCCAAAGGCTCTATGTCATGCTGTATGGTCGATATCCCTTTAAAGGCCGGGTTGGAGGTCAGTGGAGGAAAGGTGGCTGCGATCTACCCATGAAATTGCTGGATGAAATAGGGAAAAAAATTGGTTCCTAGCCATAGAACACTGGTTGGTGGTGACTGGAACCTTTATTAAGAAGTGCCCTATATGAATGGGTTAATATGGGTTATTTATGATTATCCCCACATATAAATGGCTTATAATCACTGGTTGGTGGTGACTGGAACCATGGAATTTGGATTGACTTCCCAGAAACAGTTGGGAATGGAAAATCATCCCAACTGACGAGTTGTCCATCATTTTTCAGAGGGGTTCAAACCACCAACCAGAATTATTAACCTACCCATAGAACTAGGAGTTGGTATGAATAATTGGATATTACCTCTGGATATTAATAATTGATGAATTGGGACAGCCAATCTACCCAATCTACCCTGGATATGAATATATATGAATTCTGGTATTTTCTTCATGAACTAGGAATTTTGTCCCTAACCAACCAGGAGTTTTGATGGTTTTTGAGCAGCGGTTGTGTTTGGAACACTGCTCAGATTTTTCGCTGGTGGTGAGATGTGCCAGGCTGCCGGAGATGCGATGCTGCACTCATAAGTTTCTATAGCTGGGGGATCCCCAATAGCTGGATGGTTTATTTTATGATTTTTTTTATGGAACATATGGGGATGGGTCAAAACCCTGGTACCTAGTGAAACCCAAAATAGCTGGGATTTATGGATGTTCATCCCACTAAAAATGGTATTAATAGGTATTGATCCATACCCATTTTATGACTTTTTTTATGGAACATATACCCTCTGGTTATGTCAAAATAGCTATTGAAAATGGTGATTTATAGTGGTTTTTCCCATGAAATATGGTGATTTTCCAGTTCTCTATGTTAAATTACCAGAGGGTATGACTTCTCTATAAAAAAAAATGGATGATAACTTGGGGCTTGGGGTAGCCCATGACTTAGGAAACTTAGGAAACCTCCATATGGGACATCGCGGGGCAGTCGCGCCAGGGGAGCGTGCCAATGAGCAGCGACTTGGCTTCGGTGGAAATGATCAGAGTTGCACCTGACCTGATCTGAGGGAACATATTAATTTAATTGGGTTTTAATATGTTTTAATACAGGTTTCATAGGATACAATGGGAATTAATTGGATACCATTGGGATTTACAACCAGCAGTGTATATATATATGTATATATAAGTTTCAGTTTGAAACTTTAGAAGTTATCTGGGTATTAAAAGATCTCAAATAAGTGAGAGCCATTATTAAGCCATCATTAACCATTATTAAGCCATCATTAAGCATTCTTAACTCATAATTAACCATTATCAAACACTATGACCATATATGGCAGTGTGTCAAAACCAATAGTACCCCTTTTTTGTTCACATCAAAATGGCTGGGATTTATGGATGTGAATAACCCCCTAAAAATGGTATTATATAATAGGTATTGATCCATACCCATATTAAAAGATGTCAAATAAGTCTGGGTAAATTTCATCACGACCTCACTGTTCTCCCTCACTGGGAATCATGGTTTGTGTTAGGGAAATCATCCCCTTTTATGGCCGAACTATTCAGGTTAGTGAATTATTATAATTTGCCCAGATAAGTGACAGTCAGTGCAGCCTGGTGTTTTTTTGCGATTTGCCAAACAATCCGTTGTTGAACTTCCTACGTGGACGCCGTGTACGCCACGTTTTTCCCGCCGAGGATCAAGGCGGGCGTCTTTGATCTCAGCCACCCGAAGAATGAACCTTCGGACGAAGCCAAGGATCTCATCAGGCACTGGGCCGTAGAAAATCTGTGGTTCAAAAATCTAGCATGAAACATCAACCTACCATTGGTTGGGAATATACTATTAATATATGGTTAATATATGGTTAATATATGGTTAATGTATGGTTAATATATGGTTAATATATGGTTAATATATGGTTAATATATGGTTAATATATACTCATATACCATCATACCACATATACCAGGACATCATTTTCTGACACCAGAGGTTTTTTTTCCATGTCTATGTTTGTCCCCAGCATTCATATATGTACATGATGGTATATGAGTATATATATATATGTATATATTATACATACAGTGTGCATACGTGTATAGTATAGTGTGTAATTTTGTATGTGGATACCCTCTGGCAATCTAACCTTGCCATAGAAAAGAGTTGTTTCAAATTTGATGCATTTACAGGTGACGTCAAAAATGTCCATGTTTGATTCCCAAAGAATCGTCCCATTTCTATCTGAAATATGTTAGTCCCAAGAGTCGTGTACCAACCAACATATTCAAGCCGGGCCACCTGAAATGAAAATCATAGACCTCCTTAAAAAGAGGATTGATTGCCCCTTTTCCGGGATTTGTTTCGACATGTCGAAAGGGTCGCTGGTTTCAATAGGTTTACAGATCATTTTCTATGCCTTCAAAATTTGATTACATATTCCTAAATTCAACTAATCATTTAATGATTTCATACATATTCCATACATATTCCCAATTTTTCTCTAAGCACATCTGTTTTTTTTAAACATGTTTCAACCATCAGCACCGCTCAGCTCCAGGAAGTTGCTGAAAGTGAACGCCAACGAAAGGCTCTCGCTGAAAGAGTGTTTGGAGCATCCCTGGCTGTCAGAGGCGACCGCGGTTCGAGTTTTTTTTGGTTGAGGTTTTCGCTCATCTGGAAATTCAAGTGTTGAAACTTGAAACATGCAAAACGGATTGCAGCCACACCTAGATGTTGCAAAAGCTTTTCCTGGCTCAGATGGGTAAGGTTATATGCATTATAACTATTTTAATACTTATACTATACCATATCCCACAGCAATTGAACTTTAAGGAGTCAACAAACCGAGTCATGGCATCTCCACTATGTGGAGCAGTGTCTGAGTCGAGCCGGCTAGAGTGTTGGTATGCTAGGTAGAAGTTTGTGCCAATATGTGCCAATATGTGCCAATATGTGCCAATATGTGCCAATATGAACCTTTTTGTTCATATAAAATGTTCAGCACTTGTGAGTGATAGGGTTGCTAGGCACTAGCATTCTTAAGACAACAGATTTAGTACATGAAAAATAAAACGATTAAGTCTTTATGTTAAAACTATGATCATGCTACACAGAATCATCATGCGTGTAAGAGCTGGGTCAATGGTGAAAATGTTGTCATTAAATTGTCCAAGATTTCATGGAAGGCCATCTCTTTGCAAGGTGCCCCTGCCACGTATACACATTCGTCATCATCAATCTATCCGTTCAGTACCAAACCACAATGATTTATATCATGATACTCAATTGATGATTAGTGTTCCCAACAAGACATAACAATGCACCATGTGCGGTTACCAAATATACCTTTTCGGGGTCAAAAGCCATATGTAGATATCACGTACATCATATACATATATAATATATAGATGGGTCATTCAAAAGAAACTGTGTCTCTCACATCCCTTGAAACTCTACACCTTTGGAGACCTTTTCCTCCAGGCCGGGTTGTCCGCCGCCCGTGTGGCGGCCCCCCCCGCCACCGTCAGCGGGTCCACGGTCACCGTCAGCGGGTCCGGCAGCAGCGACGCGGCCGCGGCGGCGGCGACGCAGGCGCTGGTAGTGGCAGAGGGGCGGCGGCAGCTGCCGTTGGACCTGAAGCAGCTCTTAAAGTTACAGCGCCTTGGACCTTGCCATTGTATCTGGGTAAATTATAGTTAGTAAGGGGAATCATCCCAAAATGGCCTTAATTCAGGGTAGTGAAATATTATAATTTACCCAGATTGTATGGCCATTGTGGGATATCATGTCATGTTTACCATCCCCCAGGAAAATCACCATTTTTATAGGTGGCATAAACTTACCATTCCCAGTCACGGGTGGTAAAAATGACATTGTTTTACCTACATTATACATATTATACCGTTATCATGAGAAAGTTCTTACCCATAGGATCCATGTATGCTATATATGGTACTAGTAACATGGATCCCATCAATATACCCCCAATGTTAGAATATATACCAGCACCATGGATCCTATGGGTACCACTATTCTCCCATTATTCTCCCACTATACCATTGATGAATCATCTATCGAGGTTTTCGGGGGATCCATCCCCCACAGACATCGAAAAAATGGAGCGATTTCTAGGGATTGTTTGAGCGATTTCTAGGGATTGTTTGGCAACAAACAACGGAGATTCAGACACAGATATAGTTATATAAATCCCAAATAACTATATGGGTTATATATAGCTATTTATAACACTGGGGATTGTTTGGCAACACAGTATGATCAATTTGGCTCTGGGGTGATGATATGATCGATAGTTAGGATAGGATAGGTAGAGAATGATAGAGATACCGTAATGTCAACCCCGGATGAGACTAAACCATGGTTTATGAAAATTAATTAAATTAGGAGGGTATTCCCTTATTATTAATGGTATACTTATCATAAGGTTTATACTTATGCTATCCATTATATCATCATAGGTTTTTTATTCCCTTATTATTAGTCATTATCTGATCCTTTTTTTAATGGTATTTTCCCAATTCAACAACCGTAAACGGGCTTTATTCATCCAGGCCATAGCGACATTCGCCGAGGATGTCCCTGGGTCGCTCTCTGCAGCTGGCCTGTTTAGCGTGTCGTCAGAGCCACCCCCGGCTGTCTGCCATGATTCGGCAAACCATCACGCAGGCGGAGCGGCGACCGCACCGCGGTATTTTCTATGAACATTGGGCAGATGTTGAGTGAGATGTTTCTAGATATTTTACCATGATGTTTTACCCTCTGGTAAACTAATGTAACTATGGAAAATCACCATTTTTGATGGGTAAATCCACTATAAATGGCCATTTTCAATAGCTATGTTAGTTTACCATGATGTTTTACCAATTTTTACCATGAACATTGGGATGTCACCATGGATTTTAATGGTTTCACCAATCATGGATTTGGTTGAACGAAAATGGGTCAATTTATATCGAGCCTGTCGCCGTTTTGATGGGGGAACATGTTGATCAACCAGGGAATCGAATCATGTTTAGTGGTAGATGGTCAATGTTTGATCATTTGTTCGTTGATTGACATATTATAAGCTATGTTTGGGAATCCAGAAACTACAACTGGTGGCAATGCCCTGAAATTTTATAGTTCTATCAGACTAGACATAAGACGTATAGGAGCATATATTATATGTTGGGATTTTCAACCAATGAGCTACCCTTTGGAATTCAAAACTGGCAATGGAAAAGTCAAGCCGATTTGATGGATGAATGTACAAATGGATATGATATGTTCTGTCCTGTAGTAGATCATCTAACACGGGTAATCCAGCATGGAAAGGGCGAGTAGGCTATGGCGACCCAGCTATGTGCGGTATTGTCGCTACCAAACTATTTCCCAAATGTCCGTTTGCTAATATGGGGAGCCTGATGGGATTTCACGGTGTATAGTATGTATAATATATATATACACTGTATACTATAATCATGTATATATATAGATAACGGGAAAATCTCAATTAATTATAAGGACTTCACGACACATTTATGGAACAGTGGTTAGGATTGTTTTTTTTTCCTATCCCAAGTGTGATCGAACATTTCAGGTTAGTGAATAAATATAGTGTGTATGTATATATATATACATACATATATACATATACAATTATATATGCATGTATATACAGTGAGCTACATATATACATATATATATATACATATATATACATATATATATACATACATATATATACATATATATATATATACATATATATATACATATATATATATATACATATACATATATATGTATATATATACATATATATATACATATACACACATATACATATACATATATATATATATCAATATATACATACATATAGCCATTAGTACATATGGGTTACATAGTGTCAATCCACCAAGTAAAATGTCTGGGATGTGTGAGATGTTTGTGATGTCCATCCAAATTGGTATGAGTGTAAATTATCAGATACCCCAAAATGTAAGTGTTTGTTTGTTGCTCACGACGCCCCTACCGGCCCTGGGGAATGTGACACTTTTTGCTGTGCCGTTCACGTCAATTGAAGTTGTACCCGCACTTGATGCTACGCTCATGTCGCTTTGCCCGTCAGTTAGAAGTATTGCACGTCAGTTAGAACTTGTGCGCGAAGGATAGTGTGATTTTCTTGGGGAACCGGGTGGGGTGGAGGGGTGGGGGGGGGTGGGCAAGGGGTACGCTGTAATATGCTAGACGCTCTTGGTGCTACGCTGCAACATGTCTCTTGTCACTTGCCAGACGCTCTTGGTGCTACGCTGCAACATATCTCTTGTCACTTGCCAGACGCTCTTGATGCTACGCTGCAACATGCCCCTCTTCACTTGCCAGACGCTCTTGATGCTACGCTGCAACATGCCCCTCTTCACTTGCCAGACGCTCTTGATGCTACGCTGTAACATGTGGAGGGGGTGTGTTACGTACTTTTTGGGACGTCTTCTGTCACCTTACACGCTGTGGATTCTACGTTGTCACATGTTTTTTTTTTTTTAAATTTCTACGTTCAAGTAAGTAAAGTAAAGCCTGTGAGGTCAGTTGTTAGAACGTACGTTGCCAACGTCTCATATTTTTGCAGATGGAAACAAATCATGGGCCAGTCACAGTAAGTCCTTGGGCCGAAAATGTTTTCAGGTCAGTCATGTCAAAATGAAATTTACGCGTAAAACGCGTAAACGCGGACACAAGACGCATGGCACGCAGTGCATTGACAAGAAACGGTCAGCCTTGAAACGGTATATCCCAAAGGAACTGTGTTCTAAGACGCCCAATGGACTGCTGAATGAAAAAAATTGCCGAGTATGTGTACAGTTTTGTCTGGCGATCCAATACGCTTGGAAAGCACCAGCTCAAAGACTTAGGAGAAAATGAGCTACTCAACAAATGGGCAGAACAAGAAAACGCTGTGAGGGTCATGCGACACACAAAAAAGCAGCGAATGAAGAGGTGAAAAAACAGCAGGGCCGTTACAGGCGGCGTCAGTGTTTGTTTTTTTGCTACAACCAAGGACCAAATCTGTGAGTCCGTCTTTGACGTCTTTGCAGTGCATATTGATGAATACCCTCTGGTAAACATACAAAAACTATGGAAAATCACAATTTTTAATAGGTCAATGATCTGTTTCTATGGGCCATTTTCCAGTTCGCAAACTGTAAACTTGTAAACCAGGCCGGGTAATCCATGGAAATCCCATCCCCCCTTTTAAAAATCAACATCCAAAGGACGGCCCATCCCTCGTGAGGCGTACATGCTTTGGCAGCACGCCTTGAAGGTGGTCTCACAATATGGTCAGGCGCAGAGCTATGACAGCTATGAGCGATGGGACTAGCGTGCAGGAGCCACATACCAAAAGCTATGGATATATGTACATACATATACATATACATATATATATATATATACACATATACATATATATATATATATATACATATGTATATATATATATATACATATGTATATATATATATATATATTATACATATGGAAATACCACGGGTTTTTTCTCGATTGGAAACGATCCGCAAATGGTGGATTTTCCATTGATCAAACTGTTTTTTACTTCTCCAAAAGTTGTCACTTTATCAGTTGGGAATGAGTCAATTGGACAGATACTACGACTAGTTTAGATGATAATTTGACTCATCCAATAACTATTAGATGCATACTAATCACTACAATTAATACTCTAATTTGACATCCAAATAATCTGATACTACCATAATTTTTAGATGCAGATTTGACATCACCAGGAATCTTTTTTGGTGACATCACCAGGAGATCTCGATTCGGGATTCACGCCATGGCCATCGTACCAAGGGTACCCCGAAATTGCGACTTTCAGAAAGGCAGCATCATGATCCACCATTCAATGATCTTCAATGGATTGGTTTAAGGGAAAATCAATATTTTTTTTAACCGGAAACCATAGAGTTTCCCATTAAGATCATGGGCCATGGGGCTTAAACCAGTGAATTTTCCCAACAAAACCAGTCCATTGAACCATCGAAGAGGCCTCAAACGTGGCGAAAATCACTGGGAGCTTTCGGACTGGGAGAATCATCGCACTATGTCACTATGCCCCAGCTTAAAAGGCTGGTAAGTCATCCATGACGACTGGATGATTTGGGGTACCATGACTTTGGAAACCTCCATATAATATGTATAATATATACATATATATATATATACATATACATAACATATATATATATATATTGTTTTTATACCTAAGTAAAGGAATCATGTTATTTATGTATTTTTTCATCCCTGTCAGGTGGCCCAAAAAGTCAAGAACGAAGTGCTGCCAGATCTGAACCTTGCCGTGCAGGCCGGGGTCTCCCGTAACGAAGTGCTGCTTTGTTCAAGACCAAAGATCGAGAATACCCTCTGGTAAACAAACATAGCTATTGAAAATGGCCATTTATAGTGAGTTTTCCCATTAAAAATTGTGATTTTCCATAGTTATGTTAAATTACCAGAGGGTAATAGGATGGGGATGATCTAAAGTGGAGGTTTTCTAAAATGATATAGCGTATTTTTTTGTGTTTTATTATATATATAATGATACTTAGAGTTTTGTTTTATAGTAAATAATCAATAGTGTATTACAATACAATACTCCATATATTGTCATATTATGTCATATATATTGGATGATCTAAAGTAATATGGTATATATATATGGTATAAATAAATATTAACAAATATGAATATATCCATTTATTGGATGATCTATTGTCATATTATACATATAATATGTATATATATATATACACAATGTGGATGATCTATTGTCATATATATATATATATATACGTATTATATGGAGGTTTCCCATTAGTTGCTTGGAAACCTCTAATATATGGGCTTCTATGAATCCCATAAGTCATGATCGAAGATATGAGATGGGATGATCTAGTATCCAAGTCTAGAATGGGGGTACCCCAAATCATCCAAGTCATTAGACTATTTTAGATTATGACTTAGTATTGCAACCCACTTTTGTTTTTTTGCCTTCGGATCCTCCATTTTTGGAAACCACCATATAATTTAATGTAAAGATAGATACAAAAGATACTGGAGATACAAACATACTCGTGGAATAATGTAAACATTTTGAACATGAACGTGATATTGTATTGGTTATTATTGGTTTGGGTAAAGTATAGCGACCTAACATCGCAATGTCATTGTACATGATGGTTGGTAGGGGTAGCTATCCCAAGAAGTTCTGATTTCAGGTTAGTGAATGTACTATAATTTATCCAGGAATCCAGAGTGGTCTTATACCGTCTTGACAATTTTTGACACCTCTCAAATAGATAGAACAGTTGGAAACCTGGAAATTAGGGTGACTTATTGTCGACTAACCTCCTGGAAAAACAGTTCGACATCTTTTTGGGCAACCCCTATGGACCATGGATATGTATATACAACAAAACTGGGAATACACACATGTGATAAGTCACATATGTACATAATCATGAAATAATTAATAAAACTTATGAAACATGTGTAGTACTCGAGGTGGGATTGTCTCCCCCCAAATGGAAACCCTTCACATTTTTATGGGAATCTATAAATGGTTGGTATTATTTTTATCACCTGATTTTGATGCCCTCTCAAAGTTAGTAATGTAAACCAGGTTTTGCTATCTACCTGGGCTGTTTGACTGGGAGGGTACCATTTTTGTAGCAATCATCACTATGTGGAGGGACCCCCCTCGATTAATCAACCAGGCGTGACATTCATGCAGGGTTGACATCAATTTTGCGATTTCCCACTAGTAACATCCATGCAATGCATGTTAATTCTTAGAACTGTTAGAACTATAAAATCATCTGGGTAAACCTAGGCAATTAAAGGCACAACAGTTCGACATTTTTGGTTCACCTGCCATTCTAACGACCTCAGAACAGCGTCATTCAACCAGGGGAAACCTGCCCAGACTCACCAAACATTTCGGCCTTCAAAATGTGCTAAACTTCACGCCAGGAAGCTCAACCAGACTTGGGTGTGGATCTGCTGGGAATGGTGGAAGGCGAGCCGCTGGAAAAATATCGCCTGGGTCAAACCATTCAAGTTTCCCCATAGACCTGCATACACCCACACAGTTCAAAGGCAACATGGCAACATGTTTTTTTTGGTATATGTTGGTTACTAAAACTGAAAATCATCCCATGGGGGGGTTCGAACAAATTGACTCATACCTGCATGATTTCGGTAGGTAAACACACCATGGTTGGTTCATCCAATTTTTCCATTCAATCGAAGTGGATGAAGGGAAAAATCATCCAACCGGAAAGCGCCTCAGGTTTTTTCACCAAGCAATTTGATGGTGAAAACCATGGTTTCCTGTTTCGACTTTCGCAACACCGATTGAGACAAAGGAACGATATTCCAAGCATTTCCAAGTCCTCCCAACCCCTGGTCCTGTCACATCCAGCATTTTGAACATGGCTGGTGGGCTCTCTTTTAGGGTGAAATCCTTCATTTTCATGGTAAAGCAGATATTTTGGTGGCCAAAAGTGTCAAAGCGTTCCCACATCTCCATGATATCATGGTGTTTTTACCACGTTTTACCATGGTTTTACCATGTTTTTACCATGGTTTTCATGGTGTTTTCATGGTGTTTTCTCACCCAGCACATAGTGGGGCCACAAACGTCAAACGTCAACCGTTACCGGTTCGAAGCTCTGCAGGTTGGATCCAAGAAATGACCGCGGATGGCGACACCACGCGGCGACTCTGCGATGAGTTGGCCAAACAGATGGGGGAACTGATCTCGCAGGCCGCACCAACGGCAGGCAGAGTTTTCCCATGGAAAATGGTGGTATAGTGAGTTTGTTTAGTTATGGAATCATGGACAACTATAGCAAAAATCTTGATTTAAACATATTTGAACCATTATTTTTAAATGATGTTTTCCGGAAATATTGAACGACATGACTTGGGAAACTTGAAACGTTCTGAAAGATTCAGTCCCTTTGGATGCAACTATCCATCAGTGACGTCCATGCTACTAATCTTTATGTCCGCTTAGCATGTTCAGATGGATTATCCATCTGAGTATCCATCTAGCTGAGTAAATTATAACGACCTCACCGTTCTCCCTCACTGGAATCCTGGTTAATAAGGGAAATCATCCCCAAATGGCCGAACTATTCAGGTTAGTGAAATATTATAATTTACCCAGGAATCTAGTGATTTTTTCCTCGGATTTCCAGCATCATCAAAATTCACTCAGCTTTTGATGGAAAATCACAGTCTTGAGTCGCCAAAGACGTTGTGATCCTCATTACCCTCTGGTTATGTCAAAATAGCTATTGAAAATACCCCAGTTATAGTGAGTTTTCCCATTAAAAATGGCGATTTTCCATAGTTATGTAAACGTTTACCAGAGGGTAGCCCAATTTGATACTGCCATCTTTACCATCAATAGGGATGTATATGGATGTATGATGATGTATGGGGATGGGTTAGCCATGGTTAGCCATGGTTAGCCAGTTTTCCACTTCATCCATTTTTTCCATCCTTTGTTTTTAAATTTCGATGGCTTGGGGGATCTTGGGGGAACTTGGGTATACTCCATTTTCTGACAAACCTAGCCTATATATATATACATATATATACATACCCTCTGGTTATTTAACATAGCCATGGGAAATGGCCCATAGAAATAGATGGCTTACCTATTAATAGCATGGTGATTTTCCATGGCTATGTTAAATAACCAGATGGTATATTTATATGTATAATTATATATTTG